CACCTGCGAGCTGCCTGGAAATGCACGTAATCCATAGCCACAGTGAATACAATGGGTGGTGGTGGTTGATGGATGAATGGAAGGACAAAAAGGACTGAGATGGCTGTGTTTTAATGGTTGACAGCCATTTTTCAGAGTGAGCGTAGATGACAGATGGACGATTAGTGTATATGTCTGTATGATAAATCTGTACAGAGTCAATTCACACTTCTGTTTACATACTGCAGAATGGTATAGAGGTGAAACCCTGGTCACTCTGGCTTCTGCACACCCAGGATTCACCAAAAATCTTCTTTTTGATTTGTTGACAACCTACTCAGTAATATTTGTTTCCCTCCCAAGGGAACGCTCAGTATGAGATTCTGCTCAGGACCAAACACACACCTCTGTTTCTCCCCTGCTGACTAGTGCTGATGAGGAGGATGTGGATGGGAGGAAGACACACATGTTTGGGTGCATGTACGTGCTGAACAGGAGTTGTTATTTTCGCACGCATCCCAAAGCAGGTCACCTCCAAAATCACACTACACAACAACAGGAGCACAACAGCAACAGCTTCTCAGAGGGAGGGCACCGCTGTCATGGTAACAGCGTGGAGTGACCTTCAGATGCTGTTGATGCTCCCCAGGGCTGCCTCGTTTTCTGCTTAGCATGGACTTTGTGAGTCATCTGCAACATTCAGATTCACATCATTACTAAAACAGAGGAACAAATGGGAAAAATTGACAACAATAACAAACAAACTGAACTAACAGCATTTTCAGCTCATGCAACCTGATTACCACGGTATAACAACTACTATAAACAAGCTCCACCATAAATGGGATGATTGTAATAGCACAGTCAGGATCACAGGATGTTATGTTCACCATTAATCCATCAGAATTTACATACAGTGGGCATGAAGGCTGTTATGTATCAACTTTAGTTGTTTTTTTGTTGTTTTTTTTTTTACAGGAAGTAACAAAGAAGATGCTCTGCTGAAATTACTGACAAGCCACAGGCAGCATCACAAGGATTTGGTGCAGGATTCCCATACTTACCTCTGCCATCCTAATATATTACGAGGGTGTTCTACCAGAAGAGCTACTCACCAAGGATCACTGAACACATGAAAATACATCAGAGCCTCTTGGTGTTGCAGTGATGAGCTCCAGGCTGGGAACACTGCCACCCACTGGAGGAGAACAGGAAGTGAGGCAAGGTGGAGGAACTTTCATCAGGCGAACTTGTTAGCCCGCTTGTTTTTCATCATGCACTTCAAATAAATAACATCAGTGTACTCAAAGGATAAGGCGTCGATAATGTTTCCAGCAACCATTATGAGTCTGTGGGTGGCATATATACAGCAGCACTTTTCTAGTAAGTCTTAGTCATCTATGTGGTAGTCAATACATTGGCATTTTGTACACAGTGTGATGGTTTTGTATGCATTGTCTTTATGTGGTTGTCAGTGGGTGGGCTGGGTGTGTTCAGACAGAGCACATGAGTGTGTGTGTGTCTGTACATGTCTTTCTATTATTGTGTGGGCAGATTCTAGTTCAAAGCCACTTTTGTGAAGACATCTCTGCATTGTAAAGACATTTGTGCATGTCCTCACACCGTCAAGGGGCTGTTTAAGTGTTAAGGGATTAAAGTTAGGGTGGGGCTTGGATTAGGCATTTTGTTGTGATGGTTAAAGTTAGGGTAAGGAGCCACTGAGTGCATTAAGTCAATGAGGGTCCTCACAAATATAGACAGACCAACACAGAAAAGGGGGGGATCCTCATGAAGCACATCTCTAGATTGTGATTAGACACTCAGAATTTTTTTGAAAAGATTGATTGGGATATATAGTGTGTATATTTATATATATATATATATATGTCATATCCCATTGCTATGGAAACGCCAGGGCTGGGAAGAGAACAGATGACTTAATTCCTAATGGAGAAACAAGGCACTCGAGTCTGTCATCCTCTGCCTCTGCTGCGATGGTGCTTACCACCTTCCATACAGTGTGTGTTAGTGCATGTGTGTGCACACGACTAATGTAACAGGTTTCTGTGCTGCTGCAGTTGGTTTACCATGCTTAAACCGACCCATGTGAAGCCCATGCTGATTGCTACACATATAGATTTTTGTTGAATGCCTCCTCAGGATGACATCAAGGTGACAGTGGCATTTGTGCAGCATTCAATTTCCCTCAGAGGAGAGAAAGATTGGAGACCAGGGAAAGGTGGACATTGTGTAAAATTGTACACATTTTGCCTCGGGGCACGTGGACACGTGAGCTGGATTGGCCTGGTATCAAGACATGGTGGGTTTCCAACAGCGCAAACTGGGAAACTGTTTCACTGCCCTTGAGGCTTAAGGAGCCAGAACGGGCATTGTTATTATTAATTGCATCTCTCGCATCTCTAAAGTAGAAAATTGTCATTTCCTACTTTAATACTTCCTCTGACAGCTGTCATGAAAGGAAGGCAAAAAAGAAAACAAAGGATCTAAAAGTTTGCTATTACTCAGAGGCAAAATGATGACATTTGGTAAATGTCATGTCTTTGGACTGTCATTAGTGGATTCCTCTGTTTGTATAGCATTGACTTTCACAGGGCATTTCCACAAAAGGCAGCTGCACATGTGGTCGAGGTGCTGAGGGAAGTGCACACAAGGCATCTGAAGTCTTGCAACAGCAGTTTTCCAGCCAACATAGTCGTGTTTGCCTTCAGAGAAAAAAAAGTCAAGCAATGTGGCTTCAAAAAGCACTTTCTCTGTCACGTAACAGAGGTGTCACCAACTTGAAAAAAACAGCGAGAGATTGTGCATTCTGCTGGAAATACAGTGTGACATGAAGTTAGGATCTAAGGTCTGTATGCAGTAATTTCCCATCACCAAGGATACTTGAGTATGAATCCTGTTTTTAAAGTGTTTCTTCAGATATCACTTAGTTCTGAGATAATAGGGTATAAAAGGGGCATGGATAGGCACAAGTTATTTTCAGGCTGGTGGCTTTGAAAATGAGCTGCTGTGATAAGGTAGGCCGGAAGGAGTAGGCAAAGGAAATTGCACACATACATGCAGTATCATTCTATCCATCTGATCTCACGCCTTCTGGCCCATGACCCCGGCCGTCTTACATGTGGCTGAGTGCTTCCTTGCACCAGAGACCCTGCAGATTGAGGAGATTGGCCGTAGAGGCGAGAGCTTGAAACCAAGCGATAATGAAATATGGCTGGGTGTCTTTGAGAACGAGATCAGGTCTGGTCTCATCTCTGTCCTGGCTATCAGCCTCTCTGGATCTAATGCACTTTGTGGAAGAGGATATTGACAAACCAGACTGAACTGGTTCTTACAAGCTGTATAGCAGGAACAGTTCTGGCTAAAAAATTAATGTAAGAAAACTGTTGGAAAATAAAACCTCATTCATTTTAAGCACATGGAACTTTCACAAACTAACCACAGTCAGTGTTGGAAAGCTTACCTTTGAAATGTTAAAAATGCAATAAATAATGTCATTCTTTTAATTAATTCATCAAAATAATGTAGCTTATTGTATTTGATTTCTTTTGGATTACTTTTCTAACTAATGTTTTAAACTAAGCAATAAAGCTGAAAAGTCCTACAATTATGCAGCCTACTAAATGGGCACCAAGCAAAATGTACAGTAGAGCTAAATTACATCTTGAACACATAAATAACATGGTGGGGTAGGAGGTACTTTATTTTATGTGAGTCAAGTGTCAATGTTGACAGCTGTTTTGCAATAATACACAATTAAATGTGAATGAGCATTCATATGGAAGCTCAGTATACAAATGATGTTTAACCATTATTTGACCCCAAAGAGGGGGGGTGTCAGGCCATGCCGCCATAAATCTTCAGAGCCTCTCAATAAGTAATTTTACAAACCTAACCTGCCATTAAAAACTGCTTTGTATCCCTGAACCCCATCCTCACTCAGAGCATCTGCACTGTATTTGCTCAGGTTGCACAGTGGCAGGCCAAGCTGGTTTGGTAGCCAGATACCTCTGAGAACCAGGTCCGCCCAGTTATCCAACCACCCACACTCTTCTACTAAGATCATCAAACAAAATACACCACTAACAACCCCACTGAGTCAACAACTATATTATCAACAACAACACAGATTCTGGTTAGGTGTAGGAGTGAAGGCAAGTCTACAGGGTCATCAGGTGGGCGCCCTCTCGCTAACTGATGTTTTGTTGAGTTGAGCCCACGACACCGAGAACAATCAACAGTGTGTTCCAGAACCAGATTTACACTGTACTGTAATGTTAGCATCCTTTCCTGATTTTAGAAGGAAAATATTCTTGTATTTCCACAAATCAACAGAATGAGTATATGCAGATGTAAGCCCTTTCTAATCACCTACATTTTGAATAGTAACTAATTACATATTTTTATTTAATTACATGTGGCTAGTAACTCTCTTATACCAACCACAGTTTAAAAACCCGAATCATTCTCTTCTGAAGATGCCAATCATCGCTCTATCACAGAGTGATGAGACAGAACAGATTCTGTGAGTGAGGTAGCAGCTTACTGTGGCAAAATAAAGGTGGATATGAATTGTCTTTGCCCTCAGTGACTATTCCAAATGACAAACCCTAGAACTTTTCATAAAAATGCTAATGGGGATTATGGAGAGAGCCTGCAGCACCTTCCGTCAGCTGAAAGAGGCCATTATCTGCAAATGTAGTTGACATTAGTCCTGATTCAGTTCCTATATTTCCCTCCTTACACTGTCACTAGGTGAGGGATTAATGCATTTCAAAAGCATAATAGAGGTTCTTTGGAGTGGATGGTGGTTTCATGTCTCAGCCACAGTCGGGCTGGCGATCGGTATGTTGAATCATCATGGCTTCATGTGCGTGTGTGTGCTAAGAGCTAGGCAGAGGGCCTCAGCCCCCCCAACCACCGTCACACTGAATTACCGACTCAGTGGCATGGTATCATCACATCAAATTAGTCTTAATGAACACAAGCGAGTCAACTGAGGAGAGAGATAATCAAACTTTTATTAAATGACTTAATCTTCTGTACATGCATAATGTAATGGAAAGAAAGATGGGTCTGTAGTGTCTGTGTGTGGGAGGATGTGATTTACCCCAAAATGCGTGCATGTACTGTATGTGGAAGCACAGCTGTCAGTTGAACGTCTAAACGCTACAGAAGATTTTCCGTGGCACGAGCTCAGTGAGCAGCTCTTCGGCAGAAGCAAATGATCTAAAACACACAAAATATAACACTGCTACCAGCCAAGCCCGTTCCCTTGAGTCAACACGAGAAACGCAGTTCAAATAGTATGTTCTTTCAGGTCATTTGATTGTCAAAAAAGCACTGTACTGTAGCTCACGTATCTTGTTTGCTATAAACAGAGGAGCTACATCTCTATCAAATATCACACAGACCTTAACTTGTAAACGAGAGCAAAAGGCATTAAAAACAGAATCCACATATATACTAGACAAGAGTTCCACCCCCAAACATTTCATCAGTAACAGGTGTAATACTCAAGAAATCAACATTGAAATGCGTAAAGCATAAAACTGATATAAAGTCTCAGTTGTGCCCACTTTATTTATTAAATTGGAAATATTTAAAATTATTATTAAAACGATATTTTCTTCATTCAAGTTTGGAGATGCACCAGTGGGATTCAAATGTACCAAGAAATTGTTGGAAGGAAGTAAACCTGGAATTAATAAAGCACCAGGTTCATCTGTTTTTCCTCTCACAGGCACTGTGGCCACTTTGGTTGCTGGTACTGTAGCAGCAATTGTGTTGAATTTGTGTTGCTAGACAGTAGCTGTGCACTGGCCTCAGACACAGTTCACACTTTGCAACAGTGCAGATCTTTTTAAATGGACCTGGGTGACTGATGTGTGGACAGATATGGAATTATAGTACTTTTAAACAACTAATCAACTTTACAAAGACTGTGTGCACTTGTATTCGCAGCAAGTACATTCATTTAACTTTTAAGACCTTGCCAAAACACTGAACAAATCTAAATGGCCTATATACAATAGATTTACATTAAATATGTGTATGATGACAGACAATCCCCATGAGAAAGTATCAGGAGAATGTTAGCCCTTAGTTCACTCAGCTTTCAGAACAAATGGAATAAATCCTCCTGGGGGGATGCGTGTTAGGGCTCTGCGGATGACTACAGAATCAAACAGATAAAAGGCCACACTGGTGGGCTTGACCCATGGCGAGCGGCACGGAGAGGGGAGAGAGCAGAGATGCTCCATTCGTCAGGGTGGTTCTACCTCGTCAGCTGCCCCACCACTTTCAGCAGAGTCTTGTTCTCCTGTTTGAGTTGCTCGTTCTCATCTTCGATGTCATCCAGATCCTGCAAGAGGGCCAAACACAAAGGGGTTAGCCCTTTCTGGAGAGGTTTAGCCGCATAAATATTCAAGACCCTGCCTCTAAACCTCTGAGGGGCCTGGTCAGGTAAAAAAGTGACACTCCTCATTTTCAGTTTCTTCTATCAGTAGTGGTCATCTCCTGCTGGGGATGAGAGATAAAAATGGCTTTATGATCAAACAGATTGTTCAAGGTGGACTCTTTTTCTTAAGTGTCTTTATAATAACAGTGTAAAAATAATGTGATATAGTGACTGCGATTGCTTGTGGGGGTGAAGCTACAGAGAATTATCGCCTGAATCTGCAGCTTCCCTTGGTTTTATAGCTCATTGTTTAGGTGTCTGGCAGACAGGTTTGGTTATTATGGTTCACTGACACTGCTCTCATAAAGTAGTTATCAGTCACAACAGGCAGCTGCTGTTATTAAAAAAGCCTTTAAAAGTCACTGTATGCTGCCTGCTTTGGCCCAAATGGCAAACACACACAGTCAGTGGCTGAACAAAGTGGAGCATTACACTGCTAAAGACAGACAAACAGGTGACAAACTAAAACTTGAATAAATGAGTGGTCTCCTCCAGGATAACAGTGCCCTCATCCACATGGCATGAGGGGTCACTGAATGGTTTGTTGAGTATGAGTCAGATGCTGTGGCCTTCACGGTGACCAGACCTCAACCTAGCTGAACAGCTCATCAAAACACCGCATGAGGGAAGAATGGTGTACATCCCCCCAGTAGAGTTCAGGAACTGGTGCAGTGAAGCTGTTGGGGTTCCCTACTGAGACACATTATGTTGGGTTTTCTTTTTATTTGTCACCGGTCTGTATATATTGGTGGACACCAAAACCAGACTAAAGGAGAGTGAACAGAATGTTGTTCTGTATCAGCTGGGTGCATAAACAAGCAGCTGTTGCTAACAAGTTCACCATAAGAACATTAAAGTTAACAACTTGGTTCTGTTGCTGCAAAGTGTCCAGAAAAATCAGTTAGTACAAGTTAATGCAATGCAAAATCTCTAGTTTGCTCTACCATTAGATGGAAGATCTCAGCAGCATGTTTGGCACAGATGCACGTGCTCCAAGCTTTCTGCATGATTTCTCTCTTCAAAGTGCATCAAGTGGGTGATGCAGGTATTGCACATCAGCTTTATCAGCTTTATCTTTCCTTTCTTTCCCAAATCAATTTCTACAGTGACTGAGGGTTCAATCATTCTCTGCAGAGAAGTCAGACTGGATCAACCGTCATCTCTTACTTTCCCATCATGCCTTGCAGGAGTCTCTCACAGGGACATTTCTGATGACTATCACCACGTCAACCATCCTCACATAAAGCCCTTCTCTTATGACCAGCTTCTTGTCCATGTGATGCTATCAGCATGAAGCCTCCTGCAATATTGCACTCTGTGTGTTAGCAGACAGGTTGTGTGGTGTGCACCATAATCACAATTGTGTCCAAATAATAACCAAGCAACATTCATTCAACTTGTTGAATATAGCGTATCACAGACTGCTGTATTGGTTGGCAGAGCCTGACCTCTTTGCTTAGATGTGAATGACTAAGATTTGTTTTCTCTGAATATTTAAGACAGATCCATGTCTTCTCGCTGAATGTCCGACCTGTGAGGCCAAATCAAGCATAAACACACATGGCCCCTGCTAGTGGGTTCATGTCAGTGTGAAACGCTACACGTGTGATGAGTAGAAGAAACCTCAAACACACTCCTAACAACTGTAATAAAGCTCAACCGCTTATCCCCAAACATTCTCATGTCCCATCTGATTTTTCTGAAGAACAACTGAGTCTCACAAGGGCCATGTTCTGCCTTTGCTGATTTAACCTGAACATCTCTCAGTGTTTTGATAAGCAGTACATACACAATACATTTTTGTGTTGGAAGCTCATGAGGAGGGAATCTTTAATAGCCAGGATGACAGGAAGAAGAATTACAGCAAAACAAAGCTTCACTGCGCACACTAGCACCTTACTACTGTTTTTAGACAAATTAGTAAACTGATTGAAGTATCTTTGAAAATATTTTGTAGGAAGTCCAGCAGTGAAATAAAGCCATCCCTCTGAATGGTCTTTGCTCAGCATTAGAGAGAGACTGACAATTCCACACTGATTAGCTGAAGAAGGCGAGGTTGTAATTTGCTAATCATTCATTTTAGCTTGTGGCTCTACTTTACTGGATGTGAAATAACAAAGCATATACCATGTTACAATTCACTGACAGTTTTCATTGGAAGGGATTTGAACTCAGGATACTAATCAGACCACTCTTAACTTGTAGCTAGTCTGCCTGAGTAAAGCAAAACATTTAACCCCCGTCTGTTTTCTGCAGTAACATGGGGTTAAATGGGGTGATTTATTTCTTTCCAATCTATGGTTTGGACACTATTTGTCTAACATGAATGAAAATTCCCTGAAATGTAGCTGACACAAAGTCAGAAACTCAATTTGCCTGACACACACAATCACATCTGAAATTCTTATCAACCAGACAGCAAATTTATTTTTGGTGGATGAAAACAACAATAATAAAAGGTCTGTTGATGCAAGAAAATCACAGCTACTATACACAACTCCACTAAAATGCCAGATGATGATTTACAACCCCCACAGGCCACCCACACACAAAAACACAAAAGAAGGCACAAAATATCAGACATCGGAGCAGAAAATTACGCAGGATGACTGGACTCACTCTGTTCAGCAAGTCGATTTCCTCTTTCAGCTTCCCGATGAGCTCATCTTTGTCCTGGTGGGCTTTCAGCAGCCTGGCGCTCTCCTGGCGCTCTCTGGCCAGCTCCTGAAAACACACACAACATAAACAGGGGATTCAAATTGTGTTTAGGTTCATACCAATTGCTATGGGCCAAAGAAAAAAAACAAAACACTTCCCTGTATTTAGTCTAGTTATACAAGACAGATATTTCAGATCCACTGGGAAACTGCAGCTTGAAATAAAGAGCATGGGGCTGAGAGGGGACCGCCACTGGCCTGAGGACGAAAGTTCAAGCGTCTGTTTTCTGCAGTAACATGGGCTTTCTTCCTGGTGCACATCAGCATGAAACTGTTTCCATAGAAACCAATCAGGCAGGTACAATAGGAGGCACAAAGCCTAAATATGCTCATCAGTGAAACTATTCATTCTGGTTTTAAAGGCACTAGAGATAACTGCAGTTTGAATCTCATCTCACACCTGAACAAACTTCTCTTGTGCCTTTTCCCCCACACTAATGCAGGTTAAATTACAGGGTTGGCGGTTACTTCCAGAAGCATTTTTTGTTACATTTCTTGAGTTTCTCTTTTCATCCCAATGGCAATGAACACATTAAATGTAATGACAACACAAAGAAAAAAATCCATCATCTGTGGCTGCAGCAGCAGGGCTGAAAAAAAGCCTGACCAATAGTTTTACTCGGCACAAGCAAAACCACTGGATGGCCTACCTGCCTGTCAACCTAACTCCCTAATTGCGCACACTCTTTGCACTCAGTGCACGAGCCAAGAGTCTCCCACAAGGCGCTGCAGTTGCAGGCAGATGTGTTACTGCTCTGTTTTATAGCTAAAGCTAGCGAGCTATGGCAGAGAAGGTTCCCACAGCAGCTTTGGTTCACAAACCAAGACCATTGTCACAGGCCAGGCCTTCCCCTTTAAGACATATAGCCTTATAGGTAATGTTGCTGTTGCTGCCAGAAGCTGCTACCTGCATGCAGTGTGCAAGGTATGAGAGCAAGAAGAGAAGAGACTCCTTTTACATGCTGCCACGGAAGGGGAAAATACCAGGAGTAGTCAGCTTTAATTGTATAGATAGGACTGTAATGCAGTTAACAGGGCACCAAAGGCCGCATGCAGTGTTTGTGTTACCAAGGCAGAATAAAGCTTGTGTTTTGAACGGAGTTAGCTGGCCTCCCTCTTCACTTCTCCCACTGAAAAAGCCTGGCCTTCTAAGACTAGTTACCAGCTAGGAGCCAGGGCTAAAGTAGCACTCTACCTTTAATTCTCCATCAGTGGGTTTTACTCTGAATAGGTCAATAGGTCACCTGTGTGGTGACTCAGACATAGACACTGCTTGACAGATACATATTTAGATGATCAAACATCTCTGTATTGAGTTTATTTTTCTCTAAGGAACTAAAGTTCCAGCCTGAAGTCTTAAGAGATTCACCTGTTCTCATATGACCAGATGTGTCCGACACACAAAGCGCAATGTGCACAAAAGTAAGTGTGTCTAGTCATCTGACCCAGAGAAACTCCTCTCAGTGAAGTCGCTAAGGTCACAGCAGCAGTTAATTTAAAAGCCTTTTTTCAAAAGCCACCTGAGTGACATTTGATCCTGAGCTGAGTTTCTACAGAGGGTTAGCAGCGAGAGGCTGAGTGTCTGATAGGAGTCGACATATCTGCACTGAAAAAGGGTATCTCTTCAACAACGCTGAGAGAAGTTCTGCCAGCGCTGACCCACAGTTTCAGAACTGAAAGTAGAAATCGTCTGAACAAAGTGCCGCTCATACAGAGTTTGGGTTGGCCCAGAGAATCTGAGATGGACTTTTATAAAACTCATGGAGCACTGAAAAGCTGATAGAAATTAGAAGTGGTAGCAGAGTTCACACACCAAAAATCTACCCACCCAGAAATGTCTGTGCACTTTTAACCCTGTGCTAATGTGTGACAATTTGAACTAAAGAAACGTGTATATATTAATAAGAGTAGAATGAGACAGTGAATTGGAAATGAAAAAACAAAAACTAACCATCTAAAAGTTAACATCATTTGGTTATTTCATTGTGGATACACAAACAGGAATAGTAATTGGTGATATACAACCCCAAATCAGAAAAAGTTGGGACGGTATGTAAAATCAAAATTAAAACAAAATAATGAATGTGTAAACCATCTGTGTCCTGTATTACACTGAAACCAACACAGCAGCACATTATTTGATGTGACACCATCAGTTTTATCCTTTGTACAACATAAACACTTCCATTCTGATGCTGCAACACATTCCAAAACAAGTTGGGACGGCTGCGTTTCAAGGCCAGTAATGAGGTAAAATAATGAAATGGTGATTCCATTAGCAACAGGTGATGTCAACAGGTGACTGCATCATGATTTGGTACAACAGTGGCATCCAGGAAAGGCCGAGTCCTTTAGGAGCAAAGATGGGCCGAGGACCGCCAGTTTGCCAACATGTGTGTGAGAAAATTATTGAAATGTTTAAAAACAATGTTCTTCAGAGAAAGACAGGAAGGGATTTGGATCTGTCACCCTCTACGGTGCAGAACATCATTAGAAGATTCAAGGAATCTGGAGGGATTTCAGTGTGTGAAGGCCGAGGGCCGAGCCTCAGCTGGATGACCGAGCTCTCCGATCCCTCAGACGGCACAGCATCAAGGATCGTCTCTCTGCTATAAGTGATATAACCACATGGGCTCAGGATGACTCTGGCTCACCTGAGTCAATACGTAGTTACATCCATAAATGCTGCTTAAAACTGTGCTGTGCCAAAAAGAAGCCCTGTGTCAACAGTGTCCAGCAGTCGACTGCTCTGGGTTCAGAGCCATCTGGGATGGACCATCACACAGTGGAAACGTGCACTGTGGTCAGACCAATCAGTGTTTCAGGTCTGTTTTGGAAGGAATGGACGCCATGTGCTCTGGACCAAAGACAAAAAGGACCATCCAGACTGTTAGCAGCAACCAGTCCAAAAGCCAGGGTCTGTCATGGTCTGGGGTTGTGTCAGTGCCCAGGGCAAAGGTCACTCACACTTCTGTGATGGCTCCATTAATGCTGAACAATACAAAGAGATGTTGGAGCAACATGTGCTGCCTTCAAGATGACATCTGTCCCAGGGACACCCATGATTATGTCAACAAGACAATGCAAACCTCATACTGCACATCACCAAGGCCTGGCTGTGGAGGGAAAGGGGGCGAGTGTTGGACTGACCTGCCTGCAGCCCTGACCTGTCCCCAACAGAGAATGTCTGGCTCAGTTTGAAACGTAAATTGCATCAACAACAACTTGTTTGCAGGAAGAATGGGACAAAAGGACACCTGACACACTAAATCACTTGGTGTCCTCAGCCCCTTCTTTTGTTTGGAATGTGTTGCAGGCATCAGGACTGAAGTGAGTGTTTATTTTGAACAAAGAAATTTGATGAGGTGTCACATCAAATAATGTGCTGCTGTATTGTTTTCAATGTAATACAGGACACAGATGATTTACACATCACTATTTTCTGTTTTAATTTAGATTTTGCATATCATTTCAATGTTTTGTGGCTTGGACTTGTAAATTCCTTAAAACACAATCAGCAAGATATTCCAGGAAACATCGAGGCTGACTGATAATGACAGGCTCTTGAGCTCTGTTCCAGACTGGCTCCAACTCTCAAGAACAGCAGCACAAACCTCTTCAGAGCAGGAGGGTGACAACACCTGCCAACATTCAGAGTATTCTGAGTAATCTGGACCATGATAGGAACCAGCTCAGTGTCAGAGCAGATGCCTGTATTTACTCATCTTTTCATCAGTGAAAATAAAAATGTGTGTATGTTCTAAGGCTGATAATGCGGGAAAGTCATCGTAGACAAAAAACATGAGCTACATAATAAAAAAGGACCATTAAAGGAACAATACGACTTAAAACACTGAGTTAGATGCGGAGATTGATACTACTCTGATGCCTGTGCGTTAAGTATGGAGCTAGAAGGCGATTAGCTGAGCTTATGATAAAAACTGGGAATGGGAAAACAGTTAGTCTGGCTCAAAATAAAAAAATAATCCCCCCAGCACTTGTAATGCTCCCTAATTAACACATTGTGCTGCTGGTTATAGCACAGGACTCCCTGTAAAACTACAGCTTGTTTTTCCATTTTGGTTGGATTGTTTATTAAGCACACCAAATATAATGTGTTAATAGATGGGCTTTAATAGAGCCGGAAGGTGGAATTTTAATTATGGACTGAGCCACACTGTTTCTAGTCCTTACACAAGCTGATCACTCCCAGGCTGAAGTCCCATTGTTAATGAAAAGACATGAGTGGTATTGATCCTGAAACTTAAATACTCTAAGTGGTGTGTGTGTGTGTGTGTGTGTGTGTGTGTGTGTGTGTGCACTGGTGGAGCAGGTCCAACTGTTACCAGTGGTGACTGGAAACCCTGCGTTACAGACGGCAGAGGGTCGGAGACGTACCTTCTCCAGCTCCTCTATCCTCTTCTCCAGACTTCCTGGTGCAGCAGCTCCTCCGTCTCTGCTGTGACGGATGTGTCGCTGTCTGCTGTTCCCACCCACCTCCTCCTCAGATCCTGGTCCTGTAGAGCTGTTACAAACACACACAAACAAACACACTATTTTATACCTTGTATAACTAGAACAAGCTTTTTTTTCCCCACTTCAAATTATTCACAAGAAAGAGAAAGTTGGAAAAAAGTGACATTTGTGTTCAACTTCCACTGTTTAAAGTGTCTATTTACACTGAGGCTGTTTGAAAGTATGAATCATACCCACGTTATTACCCTTCACTAGGGTGACACATCCATCATCAAAAGAACAGGTGAGACCATCTTCTGCGTATTTGCATGTATTATTAACACCACTCTGCCTTGTATTCCATTAACGGAGAAGAAGCCGTCAAGGGTTTGCAACTTTGGAACAAGAAAGGTTTCTGATTAAAAAACAATTTACATATTACAACTTCAAAGAGGCTCAAAAGTGGCAGCGGCAAATTGTGCACCAGTCTTCTTAAGCTGGAGAATTACAAAAAAGTTTTTTTTTTGTTTAGTTTTTTTTGCACACAGCTCAAACAGGAACATTAACCTTATCTCTTATTCACTTCCTTGTAGCTTGGAAAGAAAACTCATGTGCAATTTTCTTTCTGACCCTATTTCAATAATTACTGATGTGGAAACTTGGAATGAGTTGTTGGCTCTGTGCCACAACATCTCCCACTCCCCGAGTAGGAACAGACGGTGCCAGGTTTACAAAATCTCCCTGGGAATCAAGTTATTAGGGAAGCTGAAGGCTTCACCGACTAGTCTGAAGGGGGCTGTTGGCATTGTTCTACAGCTGAAACAGACAGGAGGAAAGCTGTTGGCAAGACAGGGGACAAATAAAACTCCTTTGTACCATCTGCACTCTTTTCGGGATGTGCCAAATATGATGTTCCCATTAACAGATTAATTTAGTGGGGAATCAGTAGTGGGCAAAATGATTACGAACTGTCACAACACAGAAAATGTTTTAGTGACAGTGTAGAGGCAGATGGAAACATGGGGAGAAGGTGAGGATGAGCATGACATGCAGGTTCCCAGCTGGACTGGGGACAGAATGCATCCTAACCATAAGGATACTAGGACACTCAGTCAGTAAAGAGACCTAAGCTTTACATCTATTCTACACAACTCAGCCATTCTTGTGTTCTCTTTACAATCTACTGTGCCATTTCTCATTCATATACAGGAGCGGTGTTTCTCTCTACCTTGACATTTACAGATCCAACAGCTTATTTGCACTCATCCTTACAGAGAGCCAAACACTGCAGCAGCCATCACTTTTGATCAAGAGGGACTCCTTGAAATGCTCTCCTTCGTTCCACACCCACACCAACATAAAGTACGTTTAATTCGTCTCTTTCATTGCCACTCTTCAAGGCTACTCTGCCTGTATTGGCGTGAGCACGCATGCAAAATGCTTGTGCATGCACACACATATATAGATTACAAAGTGTGGCAATGAATACATCCCTTCACACCTTGATCCTCTAAAGGGAGCCAAACACACAACCATGACATGCCTTGTGGGCGATGTGTGTCTCAATCAATGCATGCCATCTTGTTTAGAGAGATATCATCATGGTCATGCCCACACACACACAAACAAGACACCCACACACGGGTACTCTAGGGTGCTCAGCAGGTGCAGAAGCCAAGCCTAAACATCCATGGCCTCGATGCTAAATATCACACCGCGGCCCATTAGAACCCTGCAGGGAGAGGTCTGGGGGGGAGAGGGGCTGAGCCAATCACATGCTCTTGGAAACCTCAGCAGGTGGGAAGGAGAAGCACAGACCGGGGAGCTGCCACAAGTGTAACAATGTGTGTCCACAACCACCTGAAGTGTCAGTGGGGAAGAAGAAGAAGTCAAAACTAGACTGCAAACAGCAAAACAGTGCTCAGCCATCTATTTAGCCTGGACACATGCCATTCCTTCAGACAGAAAGAAACCATTAAGCCACCGTAACACTTGTATGACTCTTTCTAAAACATAACCACAATAACAACTGCTATTTTTATGGGTGGGTGCTTGCAGGTATAGCCGACCAATGCTGGTCCAACAAGCAAAGAAGGAACTCTTGCAGGAAAAATAAGAAATACATACATATAAACAGTAAAATTGTGCTGTATAGCACAAAAATATAAAAACATGCATCATCTGTAACTGTTTTTAGACTGCACAGTGCTGGCATTACACGTGCATGTTACAAGTGGGCAGCTCATCATGATAAGTGACAAGTGCTGCAGTGAAAATGTGACAAACTGAGGGGGAGGAAGGTGGGACCAAAAATATACTCTCGGCTTTAAGACATAAAACTGGATAGTGGTGCTTGTAGTGAAGTGAAATCCTTTTAAGGAAAATTTCTACTTTTAGAAATAGCTGTGTATTAGACAAAGTGCATAATGAAGAGCAGGGATATTACTGAAATAAAGTGCTGCTTGACAGACCTACGCTGTATTTACCAGTGGACTCTAGTAAACTGTTCAGTGTCTCGAGTGTTATTCTGTTAGGCAAAAGTACAAAATAAAGCTCAGCTATGTGAAACTGCCAGATATTTGATGGTACATCAAGTTTAAGGGCTGCATGCAGGGATTTTTTTTTAAATGACAATACACAGGGTTTTGTGGAGAGCTGGGATATTCTGAGGATTCTTTGTAAAACACTTGAATGGCATCCATCAAGAGGGAGAAAGGGAGATGCACTTATGTATAAAGTTGCTCTTTCAACCATCTTGTGCTACCCAGCACACCTGCCAGGGTATTTGTTGCTGAACTGCAGAGCATCCAAGTGAAGCCGTGCCAGCTGATGAGAGCAGCAGCCATAATTATAAGGCCAGACTGAATGTCAGTTGCCGAACTTGGCTGCTGGAGTTGGCCACAGCTTCTCAATTTGGTCACAAGTGATGCAAAATAAATAGATGCTGGACACAGAGAGTGTAAGGGACCCCGCACCATGTAGTGTTGATTGTTTACTACAGACTGCATTTGGAGGGTTAATTCAATAAATAAAAACATGCATTCTCTTCAAGAGACAGTCCAGACATAGACTCTATGTATTGAATTGCAAACAGATAATAGAACCGCAGTGTTACAGTATGTCTCTGCCAAAACCTCTGCAGTAAACTGTATAGAAATATAGGACAATAAACTTTGCCCAGAAGAGATGTCAGGGTGCGTGGCATCTGACAAGAGGCTTTCAAACTGTTTTTTCAAACATCTTCCAAAGCAATCTTGACTGAAGTGAACCACACATTTTAGACTTCAAACCTTTCAAAGCAAACCATCTATTTTGGACCCCCCCCCCACCGCTTTCTACTGCAACAAAGTGATGGTTTGAACAAAGTGTCCAGGGTCCAGATGGTGTCCTACCAACTACTGTTCAAAACAATCATCGACTGTCATCCTTCTTGGACCATAACAGCATGAAAAGAGCAGCACTGAGGGAAAAATAAATACACACATCCAGAAAAATTGTTGGTACCCTTCTGTTAAAGAAAGAGAAAACTCACAATGGTCACTGAAATGACGTGAAACTGACAAAACTAACAATACATAAAAATTTACTGAAAATTAACTAATGAAAATCAGACGCTGCCTTTGAATTGTAACAGAAGCATTTAAAAAAAAACTATTCAAAGTGGCTCACACAAAACTGAAGGTACCCTTAACTTAATATTTTGTTGCAATCACTGCAATCAAGCGATTTCTGTAATTCCCAATGAAACTTCTGCACCTATCGACAGATATTTTGGCCCACTCCTCGTGAGCAAACTGCTCCAGCTGTCTCAGGTTTGAAGGATGCCTTCTCCAGACTGCATGTTTCAGTTCTTTCCACAGATGTTCAATAGGATTTAGATCAGGGCTCATTGAAGGCCACTTCAGAACAGTCCAATGTTTTGTTCTTAGCCATTCTAGGGTGTTTTTAGCTGTGTGTTTTGGGTCATTATCCTGTTGAAGGACCCATGACCTGTGACTGAGACCAAGCTTTCTGACACTGGGCAGCACATTTCACTCCAGAATGCCTCGATAGTCTTGAGATTTCATTGTACCCTGCACAGATTCAAGACACCCTGTGCCAGATACAGCAAAGCAGCCCCAGAACATAACTGAGCCTCCTCCATGTTTCACAGTAGGTACAGTGTTCTTTTCTTTGTATGCTTCATTTGTGCGTCTGTGAACATAGAGCTGATGTGATTTGCCAAACAGTTCCAGTTTTGTCTCATCTGTCCAAAGGACATTCTCCCAGAAGCTTTGTGGCTGGTCAATATGCAAATTCCAGTCTCGCTTTTTTATGAGTTGCTTTCAACAGTGGAGTCCTACTCAGTGGTCTTCCATGAAGTCCACTGTGGCTCAGACAGTGGACCTTAAACTTCTGAATAATATGTGCCACTGTAGTCACAGGAACATCGAGCTGCTTGGAGATGGTCTTATAGCCTTTACCTTTAACATGTTTGTCTATAATTTTCTTTCTAATCTCCTGAGACAACTCTCTCCTTAGCTTTCTGTGGTCCATGTTCAGTATGGTACACACCATGATACCAAACAGCACAGTGACTACTTTTCACCCTCTAAATAGACAGACTGACTGATTACAAGTTTGAAAACACCTGTGATGATAATTAAAGGACACACTTCAGTTTAACATGTCTCTGTGGTCAAATTATTTTCAATCCTTTCTAGAGGTACCATCATTTTTGTCCAGGCCAGTTTTATTAGTTTCTGTCCCTTCCCTTGACACATTACTAGTGATGCTGAGGCGGATGAACCCCACGCTCAGTGTCGGCATAATAAAATCAGTCTTACCTTTTGTGACGGCCGCTTCCAGGTCTCGGGGTATCCTGGAAAAAAAAGATGATAATGAATGCCTTTACACACACACATGGAAATCAATAATAACGAAAGGGTCTAAACAGCTTTGTGAGATTTTAAAAGGAGGGCAGTTAAGTCTTCACTTTTTCATGTAGTCATTTCTTAGGTTTAGGCATCATCTGTTATGTTGTGTGCCTTGGGTTCTCTTGGCTCACCACAGAGGAAAAATAACACAAAATCTCATCTACAGGATAAAAGAAATTTATCAGCACAGCAGCAGCATTTATAGAAAGCCTTTGGGTTGTGTATGAACATTTGTGAGCTGATATATCAATGAGCTTTGTTGTTTTAATAGTTCAGCAGAAGTTCTATAGCCCCAAGTTGTTGAAGGCAATTTTATTTTGCAACACAGGTGCATATTTATCTTTTTTTTCCCAATATTCCCATTACTGTATCATCTAAAGGTTCTTTAGATGTGTAGAGTACAAAAAAAAGTATATATATATATATACACACACACATACATACAGAGCCTTCAGCAAAATAGCGCTTCTCTGAAAAATGAGGTTTGTGTCACAGTCACTGTGAGATGACGACGCATCTCTTCTTTCCTAGGGTCTTGTGCAGTGAAGGGTCCTGGGTTTGATTGAGGGGTCTTGTCTCTGACATAATCTATCAGTCTGAGCCCGACTTTAGTGGATGTGGGGAAACATGCATGCACCAACCTCTGCCTCAGTGACACATCATCCATTACTTGTGGATAAAATCCCGACCCTCATCTCTTCCCTGGCTTAGGCCTGGATACATTTACTAAGTTGGAGGACAGTGGGAGGGCACAGCAGCATGGTCATACACTACGCAATGCTGCATCTACCTATATGGCCTGATTTATTTTCTAGGATGTTGTGCAGCTGTCAAACCCGCACTTTAAAAGCCAGTTCAAGATGTTCAATCTCCTTCCACAAACTGTCTCGTCTAAGGCAGACATAAGGTGCACTGTGCTCCAGACTGGCCCTGAACCTATTACACTGAAAGGACTGTAGCACTTAAAAGTATTGTAACTGCCACTGCCAGGTTGTTTTTGGAGTCTTGTAGACAATTTGAACTAGGCTGTGCACATTACTGTAGCTTAGAGGTGTAACCTAAAGAAACATTTAGGGTGGCAACTAAAATCTTTTTATAAAATATCGAATGATATGTCAGTTACTTTCTGGACGCACTGATCGTACAGTCTATCAAATGTCAGAAAATAGAGAAAAATGTCCATCAGAGTTTTCCAAATAGCTTGTTTTGTATGATCTGCTACACACAAATCTTTGTCACAAAGTAAACAGTTAGATAAGGCGGTTTCTAATCATGGATGTAAAAAGAAGAAGGAATAATGAAGAAAGTTTAGGGCCTCTTAAAAAGCATTTTACATGAGTGATAATACATATAGTCTTCAAAGCTGCTGTAAAGCCATGTTCTTACATGTAAATAAAACAGGAGTCTTTGAATATACAGTGTGGAAACCCAGTCTGCTGGTGTTCAGTAAAAACCTCCCTATGTACAAAATAAGTATTTGCTTTTACATTTCGGTAAAAAATCAAATCAAAGTCAACTGGCTGACAGACAAGGGTCAGAGAAGTGGAGTGAGTGTTCTGTCAAGTCAAAACAGCAATGAAAGACAAGGTCACAACGGTCAGAAGCCGGATCGCCGTCCACACAGGAACTATAACAATTTACTTCAATGTTGAAAAATAAATTTTCTATGTATGGAACATTAAACAGAAACTGGAAAATAGAAAAACGGACTGGATTGCTTGAGGGGACAGGATCTAAACTCAACTTGTGTCTGCGAGTCAGCCCAGCTGGCTCACCGTCACACCTGCATTCCAGGATTACGCTCTGCCCACACAAATGTTTACTACCAATTTGCTTTAAGTCCACCGTCCACAGTGAGCAAACTAACTGAAAATGAAATCCTATGGTAATTACAGACAGAGATCCCAGACTTCATTTGCCACATTTCTAACACACCTATTGGCAATGCTTTGCAGTGTGCAACTTCTGTCTGTTGTATGAATCTGTGAGACAAGGTCAGAGCAATTCATGTACACCTACTTCACTGCACACAATACAAGCCTATGCAACTTAATCATGCTTGAGCTGTGCTGACAGCTCCCATAAGCCCCACTGCAGAGCTCAGAGCTCCTAACAATACACAGAGACAAATGTCAACAACAAAACAAGTAATTTATCACAAAACCTGAGACGATTACTGCGTACTTCTGTCTGCTTGTGTACCTGTGCCTGTCTACGGCAAGCCACCCTCTTTGAATGCATCAAAAAACATTCTCAAATGTCTTGCTTTGACATTTAGGGCTAAATGTGATCTACGATTTATATCTTGACAGCTCAATGTTTTTAAAAAAGGAATGCTATTGTAGTCCACCAAAAGGTGATCTTTGCATGGAATTTAGTCACCAAACTGCAAATCACTCACATTATTTCTCTCCACAAAGCTAAGAAAGATCACAGTTTTACTGGTAGCACTGAATACATTTGAGAGAGAAAGAGAATCTCTTCAAATAAGAATGCATCAGTGGCATTCAGAAGCAGACAAGCCAATGATAAACTACTGGAAAGTCCACTGGATCCTGGGGGAAAAAATAAATACATTAAAAAAATTCATCGCTGGCAACTACTGAATATGTTTACATTAAATCATTTGCAATGTTCCATTGGTTATTGCTGCATTTATGACTTGAACATGTTTGTAATGATAATTACAAGCTAAAACTGTACTCACTGTATCCATAGTGCTCATGACATGCCTTGCTTTCCTCCCACACGCCGTTTGGATTAAGAGGCTAACCTCACCTAGCTGAGTTTTTGATGCTGACTGAAGAAACAGATGTCAAACTAAAGTGCCAACCTGCAACGTAAGTCAAAGGCTGAAGATGAAAACAAGGCTAACCTGCAAGTAAGTCATCTTAACCTTTTGCCCTTTTGAAAATGAAGATGAATATTAGTGTGGTTTAGTTGGTTTATATAACAGTAAACCTTAACATCAGCAGAGGGGTGAATATGAACTGTTTGAGGCAACAAAATGCAATTCAGGAAGTGAACACGTCCCTGTTCAGACAAGTTGATTTGCATCATGTCTGTACTGAAAGGTGCTAATTAAAAATGCAAATGAGGCTTGTTAAAATGTGCTAGATGGAGACCGTCTGTGGCAACACAGAGACGGGGAGGAATCTGGACATCTGGAACCGCCTTTAAAGCAGATCCTCCTGAGGAATGTTCCATGCTGGATCACTGAAACAGGTTTTGGACTTGCATACCAGAGGGAGGCTTGATAACCAGGACCACATGCACACAGAGGGCATCTGTGACTGGCTACACGTATCAGGCCCTTCTCCTGTCACTTGGAGAATACACAGAAAACACATACCAGACTAACTCGCATGTTGCCCAGGTCTTCAGATCGCCACGTAGAATTCAAAACATTTCATACCCAAGGTCTTTAGTGGTCTTAACACAGAAGAGTTAAGCTAGTTTTGCTTGGGGAATGCTCTGTTAACAGCCCTGCAGCTCTGAGGAGAAGTGGAACTGAGCCTCTTTCTGAAGACTTTTTGTCCACATATCTTGATAACAGCTGAGAGGCCGGAGTGGATGCTGTATATTATAATGGACCTGACGTGGCAATTACTTGTCTCCCCTTGATAAATGGAGCCTGAGAGGAACAGCGCATTTTTGGGATGCTCTGTCTTTACAAATGTCTAACTGACAGCTCCATAGTGAATCCGCCCACAACAGTTTCCCCCCCCCGTCTCCTTATAAGCGAGGTGGCACAGGACCCGCAGCAGGAGATGAATGTCAGTTTAATGTGAGTAACAGTGAGACATCTAATGGTTAGTTTCTGCATAGCCACATCTGGTCTGTGTTAGCCCTCATGTTGTGATGGTACGAGCAGCTTCAGCAGAAGAACTGACTGGACATATTCGTTTTCTGAGAGACAGAGAATCTCTCCTGAAGCCCAATTCTACTGCACTGCTTGTTGTTTGTTTATGCATAGAATGGTCTAGGTAAATCTTCAGATCCTTGGCTCTTTATTTTTTAACCAGGCCACATCTCAGCATGTGCTGTCACTCCCTTCCTGTTAGTGTAGTGTATGCGTACATATTTCACACACAAACCCTTGTTTCACGTAAACAGCCTCAGACATTTCCAACCCAAAACAAAATAAGTGTGCTGATCCCCCTGGAACACAACTGTTAGCTCCATCCAGCAGTTATCACTCAGCAGCAGAGCCATTCCTGGTTTTTTTATTTCTTTCAAATGGCAATTTTCATGTCAGTTAGATGAATTTTTATAGAAATACAAACAGTGTGGAGGTTTGAGGCATTGTTACATAGCTGGATGCTTTTCATATCCTCCCTGTGCTCCATTCCTGTGTCTATTTGAAGTGAGCCTAAAATGACATACGCTGCACGACTGAATATGAACTCCTCATCAAATAAGACAAAAATTCAGAGTGTTTCCGATTTGATTTTGTTTTCACTAATTCATTTGCAGCCTCGCTCTACAGAACACCTCCTCGACTTATCTGGAAGAAGAGCAGAACGTCTCTGCATGAGCTGACTTTTATTAAATAAACACAATATTACGTGCCAAGATTAAAAGACTCGTTTTGTCGATATCAACAGTCTCTGAGTCACGCCGTTAACAGCCAGACACCTCGTACACACAGCAGATCCTAACACTGCCTTCTAAAGTCTGACGAATGTGTGGACTTTAGAAGGCAGACAGTTATGCTAAGCAGCGGCGGATAGTAACTAAGTACATTTACTCAAGTACTTTACTTAAGTGCAATTTTGAGGCATCTGTACTTTACTTGAGTATTTTCATTTTGTGTTACTTCATCCTTCGACGTCACTACGTTTTAGAGGCAAATATTGTGATTTTTACTCCGCTATATTTATTTTATAACTTTAGTTACTAGTTACTTTTCAGAATCAGATCAATACAAAAATGCCAGTATAATCATAAGACTTCATTGCTCTCTGGTGGAAAATTCAAACTCCCCAGCAGTAAATCAAATTATAAGCATATATGCCAGTTAAAAGTAACTTTAGTTATACCAGCTGCAACATTAAATGTGATGGACACAATAATGCATCAGTAATTATAATCAAATCATATGATGTCTGCATTGTTTACTGCCTGTTTAAACTATTTATTTTGCATTGTTTGTTGCTTGTTAACGCTGCTTGTTTTGTTATATTACACAGCCTTATGCTGGTTTACTGTTTGCTTGCCCCTTGCCTGAGGATATGTACATGCACGCTGAAAGCCGACGTACCAGAGTCAAATTCCTCGTGTGTCCGACACACCTGGCCAATAAAGCTGATTCTGATATGATATACATTAATGTTAAATGTGCCATTCTGCAAAACAAATACTTTTACTTTGAGTACTTTAAGTATGTTTTGGTGCTAATACTTTTGTACTTTTTCTTAAGTAACATTCTGAGTGCAGGACTTTTACTTGTTGCACTATTGAATCACTACTTTTCCTTAAGTAAGAGATCTGAGCACTTCACCACCACCGATGCCAAGTTCCTGTTACTGCTTTGTTTCTGCTGATGTCTGAGGCCACAGCTGATTCTAATCACTAGCAGTTAAGTTCACAAGTTTCCAGAGCTTAAGGTGAAATTTCTTCTGTCCAACTGTCAAAACTCAACGATATTTAAATTTCTACATATAAAAAAGTGAAAAGCAACATTAGAGAAACAAATGATCAGTTATCAACATTGTAGACTAGTTTTCTATTATGTAACTGAAATAATCTCAGTGCTACAGCACCAGAAACAGCACAGCATTATGTCACACTGCCTACGTTTGAATACCTTTGAGAACAGCAAATAGACCAGTGAGGTTCCATTTCTCCAAGCAGCTTTAACAGCATTTTAGGCCGTTTCTTTTGGCTGTTAACTGATTTCACAGTGATGATGAAATGCCGAGACACCTTTGGGCTTTGCATCACTGCAGCTTTCCAAACAAACTCGGCTCTGAGCAACAGTGCCTCTGTTTGGCTGCAGCGATGTATCAATATTCAGCTCAAGTAATGTTCAGAGGAAAACTAGAACAACATCTGATTCTATCACAGGCAAGATGGAAAAAGGAGTATAACATGAAAGGAAATATCATATGAAAAGTACAGGCACTACTCCATGGGCACTATCTGCTGAAACATAGGTTCATTAAAAATCTTCTTACCATTAGGTGGCCAGAGGTGGGGTCAGCTATCATGGCCTCATTCTGGAAAGTGTTGGCCTGAACCAGGGTCTGCTCCTCCCTCCTGTCCTTCTCCCCTGCACCATCATCATCGTCCAGCTCATCCAGGCTCTGAGACAAGAGGGGGATAGATGAAAACAGAAAACGAGGAACCATCATTAGATCAGCAGAGCAAGTAGAGTCACGCCAGACTATGGTTACACACAAGAAACCGGGTTACAGTTGACTTGGGGTCTGTTTAACCAAATATGCACAATGTGGCTAGCAACTAAAAATGATCTCTTCTTGCTCATTTTACCACATTTCACCAATCAGTGCAGATACTTATGTGTAAACATGTGAGAGCTGTGTGAGACTTGCAAATTTGTCAACAACCACTTGCGAAACGGGGCCCAGCCGCAAACTGCTTTGCTCTAAAATAGCTTTTGTGAAACTGGCCCACTTGTGTTTACATATCAGTAATTTAATTTATTAAGTAACTTGGCTGGTTTAGTCTAAGTGTATAGCATCTGGTCTGACCAGATTCTTTAGTCTCAGCTACTGTTTATCTTTCTTGTCTGAAGTTGTGTCATGCCAAGGGCTCTGTTAGAAATCATCTTGCTTCAACAGAAATCTTCCTGTGCTAATCAGACTCATTCTGATTCTGAGAAATCTGCATATAAAGTGCAACAAATCAGGCTGCTGCAAAAAGCCAGCAGTAATTTCAGTGCATAAAAACATTCTGACAGATGTGTGGTGACACATGAGGTCATTCCCACCATAACAGCGATGGTGACCTCTGGCTCACACAGCCAGGGCCTCCTCTTAATCCTCTTAAGACATGCTTCTCATTCACTTCAAGGAATCCCTGAAGAGCTGCAGCTCAAACACTACCCCACTACTATTCAGACAACAGCAGGACAGCCTGTCTGGGGGCCTTTCACCTTCTGAGGACAGTCAGAGGGGATTTTGACGAGGGGCACGTCCCTTGAAAAGACAGCGAAAGACATGTACAAACATAACAAGAGCAAACATCCCTCTGGCAGAGGGGCGGGGAGTTAGCTTTCATTATTTAGACAGCGATCTTACACATTTTCTGGGAAAACCTGCAATGTTTCTTAGCTTTACCATGAAATACATTCCCAGCCTCAACCTTCTATTTGCATTGCTTTACAGTGATGGGTGCCGCAGAGTTACTGAGTTCAGCTGTCGGGACCAGTGAAGACGCATAGCATAAACAGAGCTCGACATTAGGATGGATGGCTGGATGGTGACAAGAGACAGAGTGTGGGGCCAAAATCCGACAAGGGCACAAGGAAAACAAGTCTTTCCCGTTTCAAGCTGCAGAACGAACAAAAGGTGCTTGCTCAACAGGTCCTTTAATGGTAAAAATAGCCTTACAAGGTTTACAAGGAATGCAGTCATTTGCAAGGCTTTTCCTGCCAAATGGTTTATCAGTCGTCCTTGGGGGAAATGCCAGCTCCTTTTCTTTTTGACTCACTCAGTGCCTAATGCCGGCACTGTCCTCTGCCTCCTGATGCAACTGTGCACTCCGGTCCTTTCTACATCTCCGTCATGGATGTGCAGGGAGTGCACACAGTAACAGGAACAATTTCTGCAGAAATAAATATCACTTCATTTATATCAGAGATGTTTTGATTTGCATAGTTTGTGGAGTTCTTGCACTGTATTGTACTCATGTGCTTCATCTCTCACTGTCTATATACATTAAATGTTTTCGTGCAACAGCTGATTATTGCCACTGTGACAGGGCATAGTTTCAGGATTAAGACAAAACAGTAAATGGATTTTAAAACTGAAATTAAACAGAAGTCTGTCTGTGTCAACATGGTGAATTATGCAGTGACTAACCACTCTACTATGCACAACCTTGCCTGAAATGTAGAATTAGAAAGCTCAACGTTTATTTTGGACAGAGATGCAGCATGTTTGGCCTCCACTATTCCAAGTTTCTGTGTGTTTTCTTCTATTCCAAAAAAAGGGAAAGGGGGATTTGTGTGCAGCCATATAAGGGATGCTTTTGCTCCTGACATAATCAAACAGACTCTGTATATTTTTCTGGCCAATTTCTTACTTTGGGGCATGAAAACAAGCAGAGAAGGTGTAGAAGGACGAACGAGCAGCCCTGCGATGGATGTTCTGGATTTGACTGTTTTGAACAATGTGTTCACATTTCATCACTGGCCAGGGTCCAGAACTAAAGTTAGAGTTACTATAAATGGGAGCTTGTTTTCTATGGCAGAAATAGTGTCAAAGTTACACAACACTGTTCTTTAATATCACTATCAGTAGTTCAACTGGGTCAACTGGGTGCATGCAAGTGGTTATACATGATAGAAGTATTTTTTATACCAAAACAGAGCTTTCAAATTACTTCAAAATATATTAAATGTTTCAGTATTGGTAAATCATATGATTATTAATATTGGAAATCAAACTGACAACATAATTTCTTACTAAATGCAAAGAAATGAGTCAGAATTTTGGTAAATAATGTAAAACGTATCCTTGAGCCGATGCACATGACTAACATACCAACATTAATACCTGCGATGATGATACATGCCAAGTCAAAGAGTGTGAGCTGAAAAGAAGCAGCCGGATTTCCAAAATCATCTCTGCTTCCTGTTTACAGCAGCGCCGAGTGTCAGGGCCTCTCAGGAGTGTTTACTTAACTACAACAAGTAAAACGCGTATCCTGTCCTGTTCTAATGTCCGTGTCCCTCTTATGCACACAAAGAATTTAAGACTCCACATCTGGAGCAGAGCTTCACAGCCTACTGGAGTGTGTGCTATGGCCGGAAACTTGATCAGTCAACTATGCTAACGCTCTGTTCCTAGCTGCAGCTATTTGAATCCATCCGATTCTTTGTGACCTGCTTTTTAAGCGATTGTCTGTCTGATGGTTAATCTGAATGATCCGAGTACATTTTGTGTTGGCAGTAGACAGACTGAAAAACACAGAAACATTAAGAAGTGATGGGCTGGCAAAGGCTGACGTCACCTGAATGTTCAGCAAGTAGACTAGAGAATAACAATGATGATGTACCTACACAGTCTTAGGAGAATGGGATCATTTTACCAAAACAAGAAATAATACTGTGATTAAATGTGAAACAGCAGTCTGTCATTCAGAGAAAAACAAACTCAACAGTACTACTACATATATATGGATCTTTAATAAAGGCAGGTTATCGCCACAAACTAGGCTCAACAATATGGTTTAAATCAACATCATACATGCCTTTACATCAGTCTACAGTATATCACAGTATGAATATCTGCAGAAATACACAAGACAATCAACTGAATGTTTAGGGTGGGGATCAGTCTGCCAGTGTCCTGTCCACTTAGCCCTCAGACTCATCTAACAAGCAAAGGCTGTGCTGGAGGCTCACCCTTATACAGCAGGCTTAATGACTTGCATATATTAATCAGCTGCCACTTGCTGCAGCACAGTGACTTTATTAAGATGATGTATTTGAGAAGCAAAATGCTGGCACAGTAATGCCCACTGTCTTTTAACCAGGATTGTCCGTCAGCCCTGACAACAGCACAGACAGGCACAGCTCTGTACTCAAATATGGCGGGGACCAAACCACTCCCGAGTTGCTGGCTGATTAACGCAACACTACACACACTGCACTACTCAGTGTAGGTCCAGGAGATGGGCACCAACTTTGAGCAGGAGTGAGACATCATTTGACCGCCTCCATAAGGCACGACTGTGGCAAAAAGTACTACATTTAAACCTGCAAGGAGGAGCTTTCATTTCCAACGGTTCTCATTGTTATCCAAAAAATAAAGGATTGTTTAATAAAAATATCAACAAGAGATACTTGCAAAAGCAAAAGGTCGAGAAATGGGAGGTACCATTTCTTAGCAAAAAAACGCTGTACATTTTTAAGCATTACCGCAATCTTTAAATTTATCACAATGCAAAATCTGATGCCTTCTCTCTTGGTTTACTGCAAATCCCAAAATTACACAGCAGGGTTTTCTGTGAGAGTGTTGTTTGGGGACAGAGTCAAATAGTGTACAAGGCATTCTCAGGAACCAATGCTTGTACTGGCCACAAAAAACACACAAATTGTGTTTATCAAATGAAAATCTTGCATTTGGCTTTGAACTTGAGGTCTGCTTGACCCTCACTTTTACTCCAAGTGAGACTACAATGTCTTAATCAGCACTAAGCCAGACCTCAACATTCAGGACAGAAAAAAAAGAAAAAACAACTTTCAGGAAACAAGCAACAGGAGTCTGGCTCTGACTGTTGACCCAGAAACAGCAGCATCAGCATTCCTCTGGATGTGTCAGATGGAGCTGAGGCCTGAGGGCAGGCCAGTCGGGCTCAGCGGGGCCGGGCGGAGATCTCTGGCTGTCTGCAAGAGCTTTAATACATCTGTGGGAAACAGTTCTTGGAACATGCAAGTTTGCCAGACTTGTTCTCTGATCTATTAACCTCCACAGTAAACTGAAGCAGAGTGTGATTTGTGACCAGGCTCGTAGAAGGTCTGCGCCTGTTTGTGCAGCGTTGAAAGGACAGAGGATATTTGGAGCTACTGGGGGGCTCAATCTGTATAACTGGGACTTCACACTCCACCACAAACCTCCACAGAAATGCAATAGCCCCTGCTCAGACTAGGCAAGAAGTCTGAAACTAGAGCTGGGTGTTACATCAGTATGCTGGCAGTCAATAATACACAATTAAATGTGGGAGAGCATTCGTATAAAAAGCTCAGTATATGAGTTAAATGATGTTTACCCATTCTTTGGTCCCAAAGAGGAGCTTGTCAGGCCATGTTGTCATAAACCTTCAGAGCCCCACAATAAGCAACACCATGTTCAAGACCTAACCTGCCCTTTACACAAAGCATCCCTGAGCCCTATCCTCACCCAGGCAAAGAGCAGATATGTGGCTTGACACACAGCTTCTGCATTGTATTTGCTCAGGTTAGGCAGCGCCTGGCCCAGCTGGGTCTTAATGGCAGTCACCTCTGAGATCCGGGTCCGCTCAGCTGTCCAACCACTGACACTGTTCTACCAAGATTGTCAAACAAAAGAATACTAACATATTATCACCAGTATCAATACAAGTTCTGTGTGGGTGT